TCTGGTGTGCCCTATTACAGGCTGCATTGCTGGTCAGCATTAGTCATCTCACTGACAGATCTAAGCGCCTTTAGGAATAAACTTTAAATTTCAGCATATGAAACAGAATATCATGTTCTTAAAACATGATGCAGGATTGAATCATTCCTATTCTCTTCCAAAATAATAGCATGCCAGAAGCAGTATCCAAAAAAAAAGGGAGTCCCTAGATGGAGGAACAAATACACTTGTATCCAGTCACCATTCCTGCCAAATTTTTGGAGCAAAATGAACAGGCAGTTATGGTACCAGCAGGGAAGGGGGAGGGCAAGTATATTCCAATACATTTTGTTGTAGATGATGCTGGGTTCCATAGAATATTTCCACTAGTTAAAAAAAAAAAAAAAGTAAAAAAAAAAAAAAAAGTTTAAAAAGGTTTTACAAAAAAAGGTTAAAAAAAATTTAAAAAGTAAAAAAAAATTTAAAATTAACTTTTTAAAAGTAAAAAAAAGTTTAAAAATATTTAAAAAGTTAAAAAAGTCAGTTAAAAAAAGTTTTAAAAAAAAAAAGATTAACCACTGTACTTCAAATAAAATTTCTGCTCCTCTCTTACATCTGTTGGATAAACTTAAGAAAGCTTCATGGATTTTTATTACTTACGAAAACACATAACACTGAAGAGAAGTTGAAACAACCAAGTGCCCGTAGTTCAAAGAGGCTTTAATAACCCTGTCACGGAATTCCAACGTATCCACCGCATCATTAAGAACATTGTGCACCTAAGCAAAAGAAAATTTTGGTGGAATAAAAAAAAGCAATAACTGAAATTAAATCTAACTAGGGAAATATCCTATTATTTCTCATTATAAGTACATTATGCCATCTACGTGGGAACAGGCACTTTCACAGCCCTGGTGAAAACTTAAAACTTCAAGGTTCTATTAACTCTGAATAAATAATTAATAATTACTCAAGTGCCTTTGCCATTTCTGTGTAAATTTGCTCAAAATACAACGTTTTAAGAAAATCAAGAGTTTGCCTGTAATCAACACAGCTTTTTGAGCTCAAAAATTTTAGGCAGGTAAAATCTAAGGAGATATGATATATGATATGATATGATATGATATGATATGATATGATATGATATGATGGGGGGGGTGTGATTGTTTGGGGTTTTTGTTTGGATTTTTGGGGTTTTTTTTTAAGATGTCACCATTCTGAGGGTGGTAGCTTCCCTCTGATTATTCTCCATTATGCAAACAATTGAATTCAGTTCAATTCCTGAACTGAATTATTATGAAAGCCTAGAAACCATTTCCAAAGACTTATTAATTGCTATGTCTACTGTGGTGCTATGTCCCTAATTAACTTAACTATTATAAAACTTATAAAAAAAAAAGAATGCACCTAGAACTTTTTTGTAGGCAATGTTTTCCTACCTAAATGTATAGAAATAAAATATACAACGCTATAAAATAATAAACTATAAAAAACCCCAACACTATAAAATAATAAAATTAAAGAAATAGTCCAGAATCAGGATTAGCTACACTTCCTCAGTTGTTTGCATATTCAAACACCCTGGAGATTATTCACAGAGCCCATCTGTTACGAGTCGATGTCTGGGAATGAAAGAAGAAATATGAATTTTTACCTGCTAATTTGTCTTCTGTGTTCCCAGACACTGACTCATGTTATCCCACCCACCGGACCAAACTGTAACACAGAATTTCTGTTGTTACAACTTTTCTCAATTATATATTGAACAGTAAAAGGATCAAGACCAAAAATCATTTAAGGGCTTTAATTAGGAATTTAGGAACTTGACTTCGATAATGAAAATATTGGCCTGGTGTCCAATACCAAATGTGTAATTTGGAAAATTTGTAAGAATGGAAATCTTATATTATCCCAGTGTTCAGAGAGTGAATGTTGTGAGTCAGTGTCTGGGAACACAGAGGACAAATTAGAAGGTAAAAATTCATACTTTTATATTAATTCCCAGATATTTGGTAACCTAAATGTGGATTCTGGCCAAGATTTTTTCAAAAGAAGGATTCTAAACTTAAGCTCCAGAAACCACATGTAGGAGCCTGTTTCATTTCCAGCAGTGCTGAGACTTGGCAGCTCCCACTGAGGTCAATGCCTGTTGCTCAGTACTCAGCTGGAAGCATCACGCAGGTACCTGATATATGTTATATGATATATGACAAATTTCTGTAGCTTTGGAAGATCTGAATCTAGGCTGTAATACAATGTGGTGCAGAAAAGCACATTATGATTCTTTACTGTTATAGTCAGCAACCAAATTTATCTGGAAATGCCCTAAAGCAGGAACATTTATCATAGCTTTATTAACAACAGGGACACAGTAAATCTGATTAAAGCATCAGCTATTACAAAGTACATCAGTGCCCCCGACTACTCATGAATGCAGATAAGGCAAAGAAAGCTCCTCTAGATTATCTACACTTAATTACACAGCTCCATCTATGCTGACAGTTACTGTGATACTATTTAATGTGATGCTTTGGTTTTGGCCAATGTATTTTTTATTGTTTTCTGAATAAACATTTTTATTACACTTGAAATTATCTTTCTCTTCTAAGTGGCCTCCCACAGCTAATTTCACATGTTCTTCAAATGAGCTTTGCATTTTTCTGCAGGATAAAGGACTTCTGAGATGTAATTCTGGTCCACCTGGTGATATGGTTTGGTTTACATGGATCTGATCTTCTGTACAACTGATAATTATTTACACTAATAGTTTACACAGAGTTTGCTAACTCTGGCCATTTTATGATCCTGAAACTTTTTCAGTCATATATACGCAGAAAAAAAAAAGGGATAATGTTTTGTCAAGCATTAAAAATTCCTATTTTGTATTAAAAATAGTCTTAGAAAGCTAGCAATCAGAATGCACAGCTCTGAACTGTGAAGATTACCTTCATGGTTCTCCTCTTAATTAAGGTTATTTCAAAGTTCTTCCACTCCCAACGCTGCTCCACCACATGAGCAAAAATTACATGTCCGTTTCCACATGCTCCAGCTAGTTGGGTGCCATCAATAGACCAAGCAATATTAAATATGCTGCCAGTGTTTGGCTTCTCTAAAGCATAAGACCACTTGCAGAAAAAGAGAAAATAATTGTTAATTTTATTTTTTCCACTTTTTGGAAATGATCTATTATAATAAACAGATTTGCACAGTTATTTCTTAAGAAATATCAATGAACTAACTTTTTATTACAGCTTGAATAAGCAAACTGAAGTGATTATACATTTAGTATTAAACCTAGTTTTGTTCCTTTTCAATATTTAAATTTCCTCCAATGAAGAACTTCATTCTTAAATTCCCTCAGCCTTATGTACAAAACTCCTCTAAAGTTTAGCTGGATCCTTATTAATACATTCCTGTAAAAAACTAGACGCATTTTCAGAGCAAGACATTTGTTTTCTATCTCTTGCATCTCAGAAATACAGTTCATACAAATCATTCCCAATCACCAAACAAGTGTTTTCCTGAAAGGGGGTGACAAAAAATGAAATGACCTTTTTATGGACTTTTAGGAAGACATTAAACCAAGTTTTAAAACAAGAAGCAAATCTCAACTGTAGCCTCTTCAGAACCGTGTAACAGAATATCTCAAAAAACATTTAGCAACTGAAGAACTACGTGAATATTCAGCTACATTTGAAATCTTCAGAATCAAATCAGTAAGAAAAAAACATGTGATTGAAGTTAAATGTAAGACATTGGATTCTCATGACTTTTGGATACATGATATTATACCAAAGGGGAGACAGTTGGAAGAAAATACTCACCTAATGTTTTTAACACATTTCCTATTCTGATTTCTTTTGCAGTACACATAAAAAACCCAAGAAACAAAGTCTTTACATGATTTATAACAAATGAAATCACCAAAATTACAGTAAAATAAAAGGTGTCAGATTTAAAAGTTCAATAGGAAGGAAACACAATGGGATGAAATTCTACCTCCCAGTTGTGCTAATGATTTGCAGAATACGATGGCAGATGAGCTACGGAGTTGAGGCTCTTGTACTGCCTACGCACACAAGGGTGAGGGAAAGACAATGTCAGCGCTGACTCAATTTCCACTTTCAAGCACTCAATTTTAAAGGCTTCTGCTTCCATGCCTCTTGGCTCACACCATCTGCAGTTGGGGAAAGCAATTGCAATTTTTTGGAGGAAAAAAAATCCATAACCTAACTCTTCTGTCTCAACGGGATGAATTCTGTAAGAAACACTCTATAGTAATTAAGAACATAATATTTAACGATGCCTGACATCCTTATATGGTAAATGAGTAAGCACTCGAGGTTGTAGGACAAAATGATTGTAACGAGCACACTCAGAGAACGCTCTGAATGTCCTACATCTGAGACATATTTTTCACAGCTGGCCAGATGTGATCCATCTGAGAACAGTTTGAAGAAGTATTATTTCAAAACCAAATATCGGGATCCTCCCAAACAGACAGGGCTGTTTCTAAGGTCATTTCCCTTAGATCAAGAACCTACCCATCAGTCAGAAGGAATAATAAAGGGGCATCAAGCTGTCAATGAAGGACCAGTTTAAGGAGCTTGAAGAATGTGGCTTTGGTGCTACTTTTTTTATCCACAGCAGATACGTTGCACCTCTGAGAGGACACATTTCCAAAATTATTTTGTTGTTTGTTTGGGTTGGTTTGGTTTTGGTTTTGATTTAAATCAGAAATCTTTTTTTTTAATCAGGTAGTAAAATATTTCCAGATTAACAATCTAATTTAAAAAAAAATAATTAAAAAAAAAAAATATATAAAGCAATTACAAAGTTTTCTTTTCCAGTTATTTTTGAAAGCTCTCAGTATAATTCAGACCACTTCAATGATTCATACTCCCTGCAGATGTCTGGTACATTTATCATGTACACAAAATGTTATAATAAAAATCATTTTGCTCTCCATCTGTAAGATAGGAACAATGTTTAAAAATCAAAATAGGTACAGTGTATTTCCTAGATAGGCTGAGTTTTAAAAAATAATAAAAAAGAGGTATTAATATGATTACACAAATGACTCTATGAACATTGTTCTGACATTAGCTGCAATATTATACTTTGCTATCACTGTTTGGTTTGTCATAATTAATTTTTCAATTAATTCAACTAACTCTCTAAAGAACAAAACCAGTAGTTATAAAAGTTTTGTTATACTAAATAAATATATAAAAGCAATAACTTCAGCTTCCCTTTTCTGATTGCACAATGTAGTAAAAAAGATGAAGTACTGTAGTCATTGAATACTGTCTGACTTCCATAAATGGAAACTGAGTAGGCTCTTGAGATGTCGGTGAAATTATTTCAATGAGCAGATTGAGAAAACTCTGTGTCCCAGGAACAAGGACAGGCTTTCACATAAGATATTTTATATATCTATATATATAATATTTATGCTCCAAGACTCAATATGAAGGATCTAGTTAGTTATTACTTCTGGACTGAATGCATATAAATTAAGAATGGTTATCCACAGCATAAATGTTTTGGGAAAAAAAACCCCAAAGCATAGTAAAGAAAGAGTATTTTCATGTATTTTAAATTATTAGAGCAATAGTTGTGTCATCTGTGCACTTGGTTGTTCCCAGCTGGTTTCTGTTTTGGCTCTGTTTACCAGTCTGTGGAGTTTTGAACGGGGAATGCTGACATAGCTCAACTAAAGCTGACACTGCTGA